CGCATTTGAAGTGGGAGTTGAGGCACAAAATAGTTTAACTGGTTTGCCTAATGTGACAACAGGAAGTCTGTGGGAACTCTACCTAAATCTATGGCACCCAGAGGCTTGAGCACAAGGCTCTTCATCTACTTCTTCATTTTATCTCCAGCTTTCCATGAGGACATTCACCAAATAAGTTTATGAGACAGAGGAATAAATCTGAAATCCCTGTTACAGAATATTTCCAAGGAAGGATTTCATATTCATCCTATTCTAACCAGACATTTGATGCCACTCCAGTTGGAGAATACACACTTGCAACTGTTGCACCAGGGTCTGGCTTTTAGTAGAGTGATATTTGTGATAGTTGGCTTGGACTCCATCTGGAGATGATGAATTATTGATAGAAATCAAATGGGAGACACTTGTAAATGACAGCTAAATACAAGAAAGATATCTCCTTCTTTGATATGGACAGTTTTCAAGGAAGAGAACTTAATTTTAGAGTAATAAGGAACCCATGTTCCCATTTGGTTTAGCCCTCACTTTTCCCAAGTGAGTATCTCTCCCTAAATTGTTGACAGCAGTGTGGGAAGAATAGGACAAAAATTTGAAGACGTACACTGTACTGTGATAGGCTTTCTCAGATGTCCTTTTCTAAATCTCTGGCATACCTCAGAATGGAATTTGATCTGTACAATAACTGAAATTGCTTCTATTCCAAGAAATACAAAATGTAATTGCCTTTTTTTATTTACTATTATTATCTCCCCTTGTTTTCTGGATTTCTATTTGGAAACTGTAATAGAAAATATTTACTCTAATTTATAAAACAAACACACAGACTCCAAATACTACTTTTTGGTTCAGAGAGTTTCTGGAGCTACCCACATTAATTGCTTCCAGGATTTGATTCTTTTAAAAAATTCTTTGACAGTCTTGGATCAATTAACAGTTTCTGTTAAATCAAGATTCGAGAAAAGCAAAGAGGAGGGAAAACAAGTACAAATAAATATCTGTGTGATGAAGTTGTGAGATGACCATCCAGGGTGGGTGTCAGGAGTTTGCCAAAGATAGAATATTGGGCCAGCAGCATTGAACTGTACAGTTTTACTAGAAAAGAGTCTTTGTGCCATTCAGATGATGCCTGCCTTTGAAATCTCTACATTGGAACTGTTTTTCAGAAAGTGATTCCTCTTGAAACTCAGTTATCTATCTTCTCCTTTACCTTATTTCTAAAATTGTTGAAGATTACTCAGATTTTTTTCAGCAGCACCCTCCAAAATTGGTAACTTCTACCTTAAATTACAAATGGTCACCTTTGATGGATGCAAAAAAACTTCTGTGAAAGTATAGGCTGAGCTTTCCAGCTCAACAGTCATTCAAAGCAGGCCATTAAAAACCAGTTAAAGGTGATTGACAGCTCTTCAACAAATTCAGCTTTCTTTCTCATTCTTGTGTCCATCATATCTCTTCTTCAAATCTTACCATCTTTATCAAAGGTATGCTTTCAGGTGTTACTCAAGTTTTGAGGACAAATCTAATTTTTTGATAAATCTTTTCAGATTCTTGAGTCAGAGAGACTTTCAGCTGAGTCACTGTATGGTACTTGGAGAAATATCGTAACTGAACCGACAATATCCTCTCCTTTTTATGCATGTATTATATCCTCCATGGTCTAGATAGGCTGTGGGCAGTAAACAGAATATCTAATAACATCTCATATCTAAACAGGTTTTTATCTTGCTATCTCTCCTCTTTTCTTTATCAGCAATGGCAAATCCATACTTAAATTAATTTTTCTTCTAAATACAGCTTCCTTTTGTGCAAGCAGAGACAGTAATATTGGTATTCAAACCAGAGCCAAACCTGGGGTTAATTTCTGAGTTTGGTACAACCATTATGACCTTCTGCAAATACATAAATTCTTACATAGATAGGGTGCAAGAACAAGGAATGGCTTTTAGCACAGGCAAAAGCAACCTCTAGGATAAGGCTCTGTAGCTGTAAAAGGAAACTTGAAGGGCTTGTAGAACAAAACCAGTAGTGGCTATATACTTTTAAAATTGCTCTTTGCCTTCTTATTCTGTGCTTCTAAGTTCTTGTCTTACTGGGTTCTCACCTGGGGCTGGAAACCAGTATTGGGATACAAATAATCAGTCACTGTAGTTATTATTTTAATTATTGCACTGGGAGACATTCCTTTATTTAACTGTATTGCAAATAACATTGGGCATCATGTCAACTGCACCTTTTCCAGCTTTTTGTGGGGAAAGCAGTGAGAAAAGTCCTAACCTTTTCAACAAATAGACTGGGGACCTGCCCAAGAATTGTGAAACTGAAGTCTTTATACCTCCTCAGCCTGCCTGGATTTGAATTCACATTTTTTCTAAAAGGGTCTGGTTTAATAGACGTTGAGGGCAGAGCGAATGAAGCAGCTTTGCTCCTCTTTTTCTGAAGCTGAATCACTGTGTAGCCAAGGATACACAAGGTGGACAAACAAGAGTAATAACCTCTGGGTACTGGAGGCATTGTGAGCTCATGGTGTAAACTTTAGCCACTCCCAAGCTTACAGCACCATGGGAAACACATGGCATCTTTAGGCATCAGGGTTGCTGAAATACAAAGTGAACAAATAGGTATTATTTCTGTTGTCTTGAGTATAGGTGGACTGTAGACATTCTTCAGGCACTGTGTCCTTCAGCAGTGGCACTCCTTGTCATGGAAAATGGGTTATTCAGGCAAACTTGGGTTCAAAAGTTACTGTACAAGCTCATGTGTAGAAATCCTTTGAGAGCTATGAATTATGAAGACAATATTTCTGGCTGAGGGAATGCCTGCACTGTCATCACTAGCAGGTAAGACTTTCTGGCCAGCAGTATCCTGTGCTCACTGTTCTTATTCACCTGGACATGAGGATAGAGAAAAGATACCAGATTTGATGTCCCTGTTTTCTGATTCATCATGGTCATTCTTACATTTTCAAGTAAAGCAACACTAACTCAGGTGGTATCTAGGAGCACAAAATCAATCCCATAGTGAACCAGGTTAGAACAGAGGTTGGATCCACAGAAAAGCCCTGGGGACATGCTTTCTAGGTCCAAAGTCAGTGGGAGTCTGTGAGCCTGCTACAGTGACAAAGTTCCCTCTGAGGTGACAGGTCTGGAGACTCTGCTCTTTTCTCTCCCAAGCCTCTCTACTGAGGCTGGTACAGCACCGGTGCTTTTGGAAAGGGTGGTTCTGGGTTTAATTCATGAAGATGAGTTCCCTTTAGTCCAGCCCAAGAAAGTCAGTTTCCACAAGCTCTCGTCTTGCTTTTCAAGTTTCTCCGTGCTCCTTGTTGGTTTTCCTTGGCATGGGTCTTTCAGCAGAGATGAGGCAAACACTAGACGTGGCAGCTGTGCTTGCACTGCCAGAAAACACATCAGTGGGAGATCCAGAAGAACAGATGCAACCCAGCCAGCCTGTGTGGGTTGCCTGCACAAGGCTCTCTGTGCTCAAAGCAGTGCCAAGTACCTCAGTGATGGGTAGTGGGCAGCATGCCCTCCAAACAGACGGACATGAGCGTTGACAAACCGGACACCACATCCAAGCATTAAATATAGGCTTGTTGTGGGGCACTTGTCCTGGCCAGACAAGTCAAAACAGATGGCCAGACCTGTAGATCTTTGTTCTACGCATCTTAATTACACAACAAGTTTACTGACCCTGTTGGAAAGGCTCTGTTTTTTTAGGACCTTCTCTGTGTGCACAATCAAGGTTTTAAAAGAGCTGTCAAAACGTGACAGGGGAACAATTGCCCTATGGAAAGAAGCAGCTTATTTTTCTCTCTTTGGTAGATTTTGCTTATATAGGAGGGAGCTGGCCTATAATTAGATTAAATTCAGAACGGATACATGCAAAATATCCCAGAGAAGAACTAAAAAGCAGGCTCGGTGAAATGTAGTGAGGAGGAGAGAGCTGTGCTGCCAAGGCTGCACACAAGCCTCTGAGGATTTTTGTCGGCCACAAGATGAATGGGATTCAGTAGCACATTGCTGTCAGAAATGTAGACCTCTTTCCAAAATAGGCTCATGACCACCACCAGTTTGAAACTCAGGGGAGGTGGTCTTTATGTACTTAATAACCTTTACTGGACCTTTCTTCCCCTGTTGATGATTTTGCAAGACCTGTGATTTAATTATTTCATAACCCTCACGAAGCCTTTTGGTAAGGTATAATTTTTTACATCTTACATTAACAGACATTTAGACAAAAGGGAGAAGGTCCAAAGGAAAGCAGCATGGGTAATAAAAGGTTGAGGACAAATGAACTATAGAGAAAAGTAATCAAAATAAGGTCTATTTAAATTGAGAAAGAAAAAGAGGTCTATAATAATAGTTCTCTGCACTGCCAGATGCTCTTAATGGCATGGGCAGAGCTTAGCTGTTTTTTGAAGGTGATAAGACATGAGGTAGTCAACTCAATTTGTTAGTAGGACATGACAATTTAGGATTGAAAAATGAGCAATTTTGCATGCAAACTTGGAGGAGGATTTTAATACATTAAATTATATGTTACACCAAATAAAAACACAACAGGATCCAAGGATTGTGATTAATGAGCTCTGTCCAACTCTGTTATTACCCCACAGGACAGTAGAGATATTTTTACATCACTGCCATGAGAAGAGTCATGTTGTCTGTGTAGTAACTCAGGACAACCTTTAAGAGGAAATTTCAGAAGCTTCTACGTCTGATATTTTCAATTTTTTCCCAGTAACTTTTTACGAAATCATTTTTGAAGTACAGTTGTAGCAGCAGCTCTCCATGTCAAGGGGGAATATTTGGAGAATGAGATACTTTCAAAGGTGAGTAGAGGAGGCAGCTTTAGTTCTAACATTTTAGACCTGAGCTTGTCTGCAGGTTGCTTTCCTTGCTTGCTCCAGAGGTTAATGAAGCCACTTTTACAGAAAAGCATGGTTCACAATTAGCAGGGTGCTGGATTTCCTCCATGTATATAATCTACTATTGGACAGTAACTTCATGTCTGTCTAGTTTCAGAACAGGCCATTTCACTGAGTAATTTTTGCTCCTATTTTAGGGCTTTTTGTGAATGTCTTCAACGTACTTGGCCTTGGACAGCTGCAACTTCTTTTGTTGGATGTTAGATCCTTTACTTACTTAGAGAAGGAGATGAGGCAGGCCTACCTGTGCCAATATTGGGTCCATATACAAAGTGATAGATCTTGAAGAGCAACCAACAGACACACAAATGGGTAGAGAGAAAAACACAGACACACACATGCACCCACCACACACACCCCTTCCCTGAGCCTCATCATGCAGAGGAAATATTCTCCTCAGTACATTAGCCACAATGCATCCTGGTTCAGATAAGTGAAAAATTTAATATTAGAAATGTGTTTCTCATTTGAATTTAAAAAAAAAAAAAAGAGCTCAAAATCTAATAAGCCTCCATGCATTTATAATGTTCTCATTTGGAAGTTACAAAGCAGGCAAGCTGGATATGTGCTAAATACAAGAACAAATAACCATGAATGAAATGTTAAGAATTCAAAGCCAAACCCATTTGCTAAAGAGCGTAAATAGAACATCATTTCAATTGGTTAGATGCCAAATTAAATGTAAAAAGAGACTAACAAAATCAGAGCAGAAAACATTATTAGAAATTAGGTGAACAGAAAGTGTATGTGAATATTTTCTTGCTTTCATGATTAACACAGGCATATTTTGGAAGGGAGAGGGGCAAGTTTAAAAGGCATGTGATAGGTTTGTGTGTCAAAATAGCAGGATGCTCTGGTCAACATCTAATGAAGGGAAAGAAATAATGCAAAATGTTTCTTTTTCAGGTCATGTTTGTAAGACAACTGAGCTCTCTACCCAAGTGATATTGTGGAAGATTTAAGTGGTGGGGCAGGAAACTAGATGCAGAGAGGACACCTCCATTTGCATTTCTGAAGCACTGTGAGAATGTGTCCTAAACCCTATCTTTCTGCATGTCTGAGTGTCACTGGAGGAGCCGTTCTGGGCATGTCTGGAGAGCACTCTTAAAGGAGTCCCCTGTCCCCTCCCAGCTTGAGGTGACTTGTTGGAGCAGATGAGCACTGTCTCTGTGCATGGATGATCTGGGAAGGCATCACTGGATGATAGTTGGCCATCAGGGAGCCTGGCCTGCTCCTGGACACCACTATGCTGTCACTTCATGGAGGGGATGATGCCATCAGGTTTCACACCCTACCTTTTCCCTTGTGTGGTTAAGAAGTGTAGATCATATCAGAGAGGCGTGTTCCTGTGCTGGCTGGGAGCACCCTCGCCTTTGTTGTCACAGCAGGAGCCAGACTGGGCTGCCCTCTAGTCCTGCTCTTATACTTCCAGGATTAGAACAGTTTCTTTCAGGAATGAGTGAAGTCAGGAGCAGCAGGGAACAGTGTAGGAAAGGGGGAGGATGGCGAAGGGCAGAATATCTCTGTTTCTAGCACAGAAGAGGGACCTAAGACGGATTTTTGCAGAAAGGGAGCTCTGCCAGAAAAGAGTGCCCAAATGCCCTCCAAAATTTAATCTCATCAATATGATGTGCTTTCTCATGTCAAGGAGAAGAAAAGGCTTTCCCTATACTTCTTTGAGTCCTCTTGTCCCTTTTTGTTTTAATCCCTCATCATTAAAAGAATTCATTTTGCAGCCAGTTCTCCTACAGGTCATGGAGGAAACTCCTGAGAAAATCACATCAGAGGACCCTCTATTTCTGTCACTGCAGCATGAATTGAAGGGTTAACACAAGATCTGTGCAGACATGTGTAAGGTTCTTACCGAGTAAGAATATTGACACATGATGCTATCCGGAAAAAAGTGGCTGATCCTGAATAATTTATTCCAGCACAACTTGATTTTGAGACAAGCTCTTCAGGACAGAAAACCTGTCATCAAGGAGACTTAAATACAGATAACTGAGAATATTTTCTCCAAACATTTTCTTGATTAAACAGGCATTTCCATTTTAAATTGAATGAAAATTCAGAATATAAAGCATTTCTTTTTCTGACATAAACTTAGCACTTTTTAATCAAAACAGTTTTGATTTCTGTTGATTATAGATCCTTCTTTTCAACAAAATCAAGTTAGCAACCAGATGTTTTTTATAGTTTTAAGCAAAACAGAGGGCTGGTCGCCATTTATTAAGGCTTACCTACTTACAGCATCACTAGGACACCTGCTAAAAAGAAATAACATCGCATATTTCAATAATTTCATTCAGCACCACTTGTGTTTTCATCACAAAACGATCCATTGCAGTGCTGATGTCCGAAGGGGAACTGTTAGTGGTCATTACTTCCATGCCATTTTGAAAGGTTATCTATCAGGTCATTCACAGGCTATGTTTTAGACATGTCTTCACCTCTCCCAGGAAGAACCATCTCGAGATTTCTCATCCATATAGGCATCTGTGACAGCCTGTTATCACCTGTGAGAACCTGGGCCACACAATGGGCAGTGTGAGCCAGAATCCATGGCCAGCTCAGCTGACAGCAGGGCTGTGGCCAAACTGAAAAAGCAAATGCAGACCTATAAGCAAAGAGACAGAAAGGCATTGTTTTTACCTTCCGTGCCCTAGCAGGGAGGCTTGGTTACTGTTAGAAGATGGTGATACCTTACTTTTTCCACGTGGCTGGAAGTAATTGAGCTTAAGAGCATGGTTTGACTGATATGGCTTGTCTGTGCAGCTTAGATTAACTGGGAGAAAGGCAGGGTACAGCCAGTGGATTAGCTACAGGATTCATAGATGCTCACAGACCAGAGCAGTAATAATGTCTTGTGAATCTCTATTTAAGAGGTCCAAAATTTCAGAGGAAAAACAAGCAAAAATAAACTACCAAGTCTTGTTTTAGACAAACGAGAAAACACTCTACAGTTCTGCCCGTGCCATTTTGAATTAGCAAGTTGTTCTCAAATAAGGTGTAGTGGGAAATAAACCTTAATGAAAGCAAACAGTACCTTGTGTTTCACAGCCTGTCACTTTGCTTGTTTGTTACCCAAGAGGAAGGCACCAAGAAATTTCTCACAGAAACAGTTTTAGTCTCCATGCAACTTAATACTTACAGAAATACACCCACTAGTACCACTTCTCTCCTTTACAGATATATTCTCTTTTCTGTTTTCCTTTCACGATGAGCAAGACAAAAGCAAAACATCTATTTGTTGTACACACCTTCAATCTACCTGTTGTTGTGGGTCTACACAGACTGAAATGAACTTTATGTTAGGAAGGGGAAAAGTAATGAAGTGAGAGATGTTTGTTTCCTATGAGCAACAGAAACAGAGCCAAGAGAAGACCTTTCTCAGAAGATGCTCCTGCTCAGATGTGTCAAGGGGCTTAGGCAAGGACCTGTTGGCTAAGCCCCATTCTCATTTAACATAACTGGGACCTGCTTCACCCATGGCAATTCCTGGCCTTTCCCAGGGCTGCCATGTGCCTAGCCACCAGCTGTCAGCCCAGCTTTCCACAGCACTGACATTGTCTGAGTAGACAATAGGCATTTTATAACTCTCTGCAGGCTCCTGCTTAAGGCACTTGTTTAATTTGCTTGACCTTAGACCTGGCCTTAAATTTAATGACAGGTTTATAGAGACTGGACCTGTCAAAGCTCTGAATCTCAGAGTAACCCAATGATTTTCATAAAATCTCACCTCCATGAGTCATGTGAATTACATGTGATTCATTTTTTACAAAATATAGACTTAATAATCATCATGGTTTTGGGGCAAACTTTGTAGAAAAAATAAATTAATCATTGTATTATAAAGACACAAAACTAGATGACCCAAGAAACACTCCATAATTAATTTCAAATAAAGAAACAACATATAATGTAAAAACCACCTTAAGGTTCTGGAGCACCTGGCTCATACGTACCAACGTTATTTTGCTATATTTATAAAATGGGTGCTTTATACCCATAGAAAGACACTGCCCCAGTGAGACAGGTTGAGCTGCTTCCCCAGAGCTGTGTACTCAGCAGAGGCCCAGCAGCATTTGAGCAATTTAGCACTTTCCAGGAAGCCAGACAAACTAACACAGCCTGTTTATTTCCTCTTTCTTTCAGTACTCCCACGCTGGTGCCTCTGTAAAGGAAAATATTGATGGATCTGAAATATGTACGACATAGGCTCCGAGTCCATGGCAGTCGTCCCCTAGCAAGCTGTTTCTGAGGCTGTTTCCTTTAGTGAGACCATGAATTATTTTCTTTCTCTTACTCTTTTTTCCTCTGGGTATATGAGTTTGCCACCTGCTAAGGTGCTGCACAACTACCACCACCAATGCCATGGAGGAAGAAATAGCAGAGTTCCTTCTACAGTAAGATGTTTACAGAATATTTCAAGATTCAGTAAAGAAATAATTTCCTCCCTAAAAAAATTTAGGGCCAGCCTGTTACATTTTCAACATTTCACTGAAATTTCTGGTGATCCATTTAACTTTTAGAGGTCTTAGCCTTCATTTTAAAGTGTGACATGCCCCAAGATCCCTGTTTATGCAGTGAATATTTTTGAACCATATCCTTCATCAGGTTGCCATGAAAGATGGCACAAAAACTTCAGTAAAAACTGTGTAAAACCCTACTCCTTTTTTTCTTGATTTGCAGACAGAACTGGGCTGGGTGGTCTAAGTGGCTGGAAATTAAGAACAGAGAGCCAGTGGGTCCACAGAGAAGTCCTGAGGTAAGGGAGTGATCAGATGAAGAGTGTCGACTCCTCCAGCAAAAACCAAAATGAGGACATTCCAAAGGTGCTGTCCCCACTCCCACCCTCCATCCCTTCTGTAAGCATAAATAAAATCACATTGCCTCAGTATGAAGTTCTCACTTCCATACACCAGAAGAGAAAAGAGGGATTTGCAGTTCTCCCTCTTTAACAAAGTCCAAAGAGGAACCCCTTCCATCAGACGACTAATCCCTGCAGAGGACTTCTTAACTCACTAGGGGGAGTTTAAACCTCGGTGAGGAAAACAAGGAGCCGTGAGATTGCTCGGGGAACCCAA